ATAGTATTTCAAATAAATTTACAAAAAAAAAATTAATAAAAATAGAATTTTAGTTTTTTAGAAATTTATTCGCTTCCTCTTGAAAATGCCAAGTCGAATTGTATATTTTGTTAATAAAATGTGAATTTTAAACTAAAAATTATTAAAATTTAGAATTAATTTTTTTTTTTGAAACTCAAACTTTAAACAAAAAATATTGATTTTATAATTTTCTTAAATTATTTTCATTATATATATTGATCATTTTATGTGTTAGATTGGAAAAAATTTTAAAAAAAGAAAACTGAAATTTTCTATGATCATATTTATTTTTAGAATCTGTACAATATCACACCAAAATCAATAAAATTAAAATTGTTAATAAAACTCGTATTTTTTGTTTTCAATTCTTAAGATTGGAAATTAATATATTATTTTATAATAAAATCGTTTTATAAATCAATATAATGAAAATATGTGATTTGAAAATGAAAAGTTTCTTAAAAAAAAATTTATATTTTAACTGAATGTGATTAGAAAGAATATAATCTATTTTATCTTCTATTTCAAATTAATTGAAAAAAGAAAATATTGAAAATTTATACATATTATATTAGAACGCATAGTTCATTATTTATACCTTAAAATTGTGAATCAAACTTAAAATTTTAAATTGAAAATGTTTAAAAAAATGTTTTTCTCAATAATTATTATATTTTTTTTTTTTTGCTATTTTTTTAATAAAATAATCTTATATTGCAGAAATTTGTTTTCTTTAATTATTTTTTATTATGATAATTATGTTTTATCCAACCTTATAACTTAAAATTAAAAATTTATTATTTCTTTGCAACTTATTTATTTTTTAATTATTTTATTTAATTTTCAAGTTTAATCACCTAAAATATTTTTAAGGTTTTTTATGTAAATAATCATTTTGCTTTTTATTTGATTTTCGATATTATTATTAAATGTTATATATTATTTAAAAATTTAATTTTTCCAACTTTTTCAATTAGACTTTCTATTGCAAGATTATTTAAAATTTTTTGTCTTGTTTTCTGTTTTATTTTTCTTTTCTTTTTTTTAATATTTACTGGAAAGCTTAAAAAAAAAATTTATGTAATTTTTGTAAGGTAGTAAATAGTATATGATCCAGTTTTATATTTTTTCCAAACTAATTGAATACATTAAGTTTCCATATATTTACTTAATATAAAACCTATTATATTTAAAAATAGTTTAAATTTTTTTTTTTTTGTTTTGCTTCGAAATGTGTGATTTAACACAAGCAGCAAAAGAAATTTTGAAATTTTTTGTTTAACATTCATTTGTAAGTAATTAAATTTTTATTTATGTTTTTTTTTTCTTAATTTGCTCTTAATTCCAAATTGAAATATACATTACATTATTTTTTAATATTATTTTATATGATTTTTCGAACTTTCGAACTATATTTAGAGAAAAAAAAAATTGAAATTTTTGCAAATGTCGTTTTATTTGTTTCTTATTTTATTCTAAAAAATATACTTTGATTTAATTACAATCCTTTTATTTATAAATAAAAAAAAATGTTATTTTTTTTTCTTTAAATCTTCTCTTTGAAATTATTGCTACATTCTCTACGCAATTAAACTTTTTTATGGTAGCTAAAATTTGATTTAAGATTTTTAAATTTTTTTTTTTTTCATTTTGCGTTTTACTTTAACAAACATAATATTTATATGTTTTTGATGTACATAATTAATTATAAATGTGTATATAAGACAAAACTTGTTTTATTTTCTAAGTATTACACTGTATATATCTAACAATTATGTTTTTCTTTTAAGGAGAAAAATGTTACATTTAAAGTTAAGTATTTTAACATAAAAAAAAAAAAAAATTATTAGTAGTAATGATAATAAACAATTTAAAGAATAAATACATGAATTATTTATTTAATATACATTTTTATCATTTTATTATTTAAATTAAGCAACTCTTTTTTTTTTTAATTAAAAATTGAATAAAAAATTGGTTCACATATTGTTACAGTGATTTTTTCACATATTTTTACAGTGAATTTGTCTATTGCAATATAATTTGAATATCGATTTTACTCTTTTTTTTTTTTCCTTTTCAACAATAATATGAAAAATTAATACATACTTTTTAAAAAATAAATTTATTATTAAAATTAAAAATCTATGATATTCATTGTACAAAATCAATTCACTGTATATGTTTTATGTAAGTTCAAATTTAATTGATACTTATATATTTTTCATTTTTATTTTTAAACATTTTTTGTTGTTATAATGTATTTATATTGTTAATTTAATAAATTTTAAAAAAAAATTCAGTTTAATTAAATTTTATTAAGCATGAAATTATTGTTTTCCATTTGAAAATGTTTCTTTTTTGCTTTAATGATATAGTTTAAAAATTTTTTTTGTTTTTCTTTCTCTCTAGTCAAATTTCTTTAAGTGTTTTTTAGGGATTTAAAATTTGTAAAATTTCAATCATCACGTTTTCATCCAGTTTAAAATTATTATTTTTGCTGATTCTTTCATTTTTTTTTTTTCAATAATTGTATTTTCAACATCATATTTATTTTTTTATTTTTGAATTCTCCTTTTATTTTTATTTTTTTTTTTTTTGGGCAGATGCAGTCATTCCATGTTAAGATTCGATCTTATATTATACTTAACAATGTTTTTTTTGTTAAATATTTAATTATTTATTTTATTTATTTATATATTTATTTATTTGTTTATTTATTTATTTACCTTTTTTTTTTGTAATTTTAATCATTTATAATAGCGATGTTTTTCATTATTATGTAAAAGTTGTTTTTTTTTTTTTTTTATTGAAAATGTAAAAATAACGAACACATTTATTTAATCGAAAAATTATTTTTTAATTTGTTCTTAACAAATATTTTAGTATTTAAAAATCGAAAAAAAAAATTTTAAATTTTGAATATTGAATCAAATTAATAGGTTAAGAAAATTAAATAATGGTTTAACTAAAAATTATGCAATAATTGAATTGAAAAAGAAAAAAATTTTATACAAAAATTTTATAATATTAATTTGATAGCAATTATGGTAAGAAATTTCAACATATATGTAAATGAATTTTATTAAAGAAGCACAGTATACAAAATTAAAAATTATTTTATTTGAAATATGGTATTCAAGATCTAATGAATAAGACACGAAAAAATTTAAAACTATACGTTTTAAATTTACATTTTCGTTTTTCATATTTTAATAATAAATTCCCTTGTTCAGACAACTTTTACATAATTTAATGCTTGATTTATACATGTTTTAACAATATTATTAATAACAAATATATAAAAATATATTTATAACATCACAGACCATAAACATTTTTTTACTATATATATTTTTATATTAATATTATAAAATAAATAAAAAAATGTTTTCATAATAACTTTATATATTTTTAGAGCGTATTGTTAAATTTTTATTATTTTTTTTTTTTTTTGTTTTTAATTTCTTATATTTAGTTTTTTTTTTTATAATTTTATTTTATTTAACCCATCTTTGAGTTCATATCGATCTTAAATACTTCTACATTCTCTTACATAAAAGGGCACGCATGTTAATAACCATTTTATAAAATAAAAAAAAAATTATTTACTTTTATTTTATTTATATAAAAATAAACAATTTTTTTTTTCTTCTTTACATACTTTTATATGTTTCTTTTTTACAATAACTAGTTGTTTATTAATTTTGAATAACATGGAATAAATATGATCTCATTTTTATCGAGATAGAAATTTATGATAAACATTTTTTTTTGTTTGTTTTTTTTTAATTAATTTTATTTTAAATTTGTTATAAAATCACATTTAGAACACTTCTTGGTTGTTTGATGTTTATATAAATTTCATTATTTTTGAACATTTTTTTTTAATTTTCAGTCATTATCGGTTCAATTTTTTTTTATTTCTTTTTTTTTGTTGAAAAATCCTAGTTTTCGGAAGTAATATATTTCAATATATTTTAATTTTTACAATTGAAAAATATAAATTAAAAAATTGGTCACAAATTAATTAAGAGTTCAAATTTTAATAATAAGTGATTTTACACGAATAGATTCATTTCTGTTATAAAAAGTAATATACAAAAAATGAAATTTTTATGAAAAGAGAACAAAACAAAAAAAAAAAAAAAAAAAAAAAGTGATACAAAATAAGATTGTAAAGGTTGAAATACGATACTCCGATTATTTTGAAAAAGACACGTCATAGTAATTTTTTTATTTGTTATTGATGATGCAGTTGTTAAAAATTCTATAAATTTTTATTTCTTAAGGCATTTTCATTTTTAATGATTTGTTTTTTTGAATTATAAAATACAATATTATAAATTTTTTAATTAAAATTGTACAATTTTTGTTTCATTATTTTTTTTTTTCGTTTTCTTCCGTTCAAATCAGTGAGATTACGTTGTAATAAATATTTTTTTATTGATTTGATATTTTTATTTGTCTATTCATGGGTTTTACATATCATTTTTTTCTTAATAACTGCATGCTTATTTTCAATTTTCTAAAATTTTTTCTTGAATTTTATTTTAAATATATATTTTTTTTTCATTATCTTATAACTAAATAGTTCTAAAATTATAAAATAATTATAATAATTTTATCTTTTAATTTATTATGATTTATTATGAGTAATATATATTTTAGTATGAATATAATCATAACATCAATTACAAAAAAAAAATATATTATTTAGGAGAATATCTTAAAACTATAAAATAAAAAAAAAAATAAAAAAAAAACTCAAACTTTCAAAGGAAAATATGAAACAAAATTAATATAATACTAATATACATAAGTATACAATTATAATTAATGCATTTTGTTATTCCTTTTTAAGTTTATTTTAACTTTTGTATTATATTATAATTTATTTATTTTAGTCAAATAACGATAAAATTTAAATAATCTTATTGAAAATTGTTAAATAAAAAAAATAATTCAATTTTTATTATAAAGTAACATTATGAATGCAGATCTATTTAAAGAAATTGAAATAAAAACAACTGAAATATTGGTGACAAAAATAAACTTGTCTTTTAAATGATACAATTTCGGATTTGAGATAGAAAAAGTTTAAAATAAAAAAAAATTCTATGTAAATGTATATTAAAATACTAAATTAAAAAACCATTCAAAAATTCAAAATAAAACCAAAATAAAAAAAAAATTTGTCAAAATTTGAACAAATTATGTACTTTAATTACTAAATAATATGTACTTTAATTGCTATGCATTTTAATGTTACCTAAAATTATAATATTTTTTGAATACTTCTTTTTTTTATTTAATTATTCAATAACGAGTCAATTTAAACTTTAACGGGTACATCACCACCTCCGACGTCATCATTAGTTGAATTAGTTCCAGTACCATTTTTCTTAGTTTTAGATGATTTTTTAGAACTTGTTTGACTTCTGGTTAATCTTCTATTTGAATTACCATTGTTAATGGTATCGTCATTATCATTAGCTGAATTACTAGTGGCATCACCTGATCCACCAGTACTTTCAGATATTGATGTTTTAATACTTTCGGTTTTTGTTAGAATTTTTGTAGGTGTTATGGCTGATTTTGTTTTTATTTCATTTGAATCATTATCATCATCTTTGAGAATCTCATCACACATTGAATTTGCTAAATCAGATGCTAATACAATGGTACTAAAATAAACAAAAAAACAAAAAAAAATTTTAAAAATTATACAAAATTTTTAAATTATATTCTTTTTAATACCCATTCCGTATTTCCACTGCACAATTATTACCCAAAGATAAATCTTTTACTCCCTCTGAGACCTTATCAATTTCAGTCTTAATTTCATTTTTATTATCAGTCGTAGAATTATCAGACTTTTTGTCATCATTTGAAGAATTAGGTGTTGTAGCTTCATTGGAGGTTGTCGGAGATTCTGGTGCTTCACTTTCATTTTCTGTTTTATTTTCTTTTTTATCGGTCTTTTTATCAACGCTATTGGATTGTTTCTTTTTATTGTCCTTTCGCTTGCGATTACGTTTACCTGTTTGATTCATTTTGTTACCAAATGCTCGTGACATATTACGCCCTGTAAGATTATTTTTAATTGCATTACGTGGCAATCGAAAATTCATTCCAACATTATTTTTACCACGTGCAGCTGCCAAACGAGCTAATTGTCCTGGTGTTAGATCAAGTCCAGCAAATCGATCTCCAGGTGGCAATAATGATGCCGCTGCTGCTCTACCAGCTTGACCACTAGCTGCCCAAGAACCTGTAACTACGCCTAGAATTTGCAAAATTTTATCAAACAAAACAAGAAGCAAATACAAAGTTATTTGCAGCTTATATTTATATTAGTAAAAAGTAAACTTATGGAAAATTTGAAAAATTCAGAATTCAAAAAAAAAATTTTTATATAAGCTTTTCCGTTTATTCAAAACGAATACAAAAAAGTTGCTAACTTACCACCAACTTTCAATTGATAACCTTTTCTATTATTTGCATTGCGTTGCCCACTTCGATTATTGCGTCCAGAATTTAATGCATTCGCATTAACTCCTGCAAGGGATTCCCGTCCAAGTAAAGCTTGAGAGAGAGAAAAATAAGTTTGAGGATTATAAAATCCCCAAACTCCATTGGCGTTTCCAGCCCCGTTGGCGTTTGCAGCGGCTGTTAACGGATGAAGGGCATTAGCTGCAGCGGAAGCTGAACCAGCACCTTTTCCAAAGGCGGGTAATGGTAAAGTAGGCTGAGGTAAAAATCCTGGTCGGTACATCGGATCTTAGAATAAAATACCATTTTCAAAATTGAAATTAATATTTTATAAAATTACAAATTTATATATTAAAATTATAATTAGTTAGGCAGTTAATAAACCTAGTTTTTTATTACTGAATCACAAGCTTATTAGGAATAAATATTGATGAGAAAACATACGAGTACGATTTTAGAAATTTAACTCTTGACCCAAAACCTAAATTTTAATATCCTATTATTTTAATTACAATTAGATTATTATTAACAACCTATTTAATTATTATAAAAAGGAATGATTGAGATGTACTATTTAATTTTAATAAATTTTAGTTATTCTATTAAATAATATTCATTATTCTAATAATTTATAACGTTTCAAAAATTAAATTTGTTTTAAAACATCTAAAATATAAATTTAAGAATTTTTGAAAAACATCTAAAATATATCTTATTTTAATTTTGATTTAAAATAGATTTTAGTTTTACCTAAATGTGCTGCGGGAAGCAAAAAATGTTCGACGTCTTCTAAAATTGCTTTACGGAATCTTTCTATTTTTAAAACAATTTCGATATGATCATCGCAAAGTTCTCTCAACGTTGAAACATATGTGGACATTTTAAGTTTTAAATGAAATAGTTTTCCGTCAAAGAATAACCACGGATTTGTCATTGTCCACGGCAATGGCACGCCACAAGCATCATTTGCGAGGGAAGCTGTCTCAACACCTTGCATGAAAAGTGTTGCCAAATAAACTCCTCTAAGGTGAACACCCGGTAACTACAATAACACAATTGTATATTTTGACAGATTTTTTTAAATGTGAATACTTACCACTAACTCTTGTGTATATTCAACCATTGGTAATTGTGGAGAAAATGCTGCCGCCAAAAATGCATCGAGTTCCTGACGAGTTAAAATATTACGATCTGGGCTAGTAATAATATATCTTAAAACACAGGCCATGACAAGCATATGTTGGGGCACGTAGCCTCTATTTAGCATCAGTGGGGAATCAGATCGCATGATTGTTAGGAATGCTTTTATACGACGTTGTTTATCTTCGAAAGCCATTCCAAACCATAATCTTTGAATTGTTGGCACTGCCCATGGTAACTGGGTTGCGTTAACCATTTCAGCTTTTTTGTATTCATTCTGGGGAGTCCATATCCATTCGGCAATCTGAATTTCTGGTGGCTTGTGAACAATTGTTGGTGAATCCTTTTTGTCTCTCTTTTCCTTTTTATCATTGTTGCTGTTCCGTTTTGAACATAAATATTTTTGATGATATAAATTGAAAAGAATTGCATATATCATTTGCCGTGCTGGACGGTAAAACAGATGTACGGATGGAATTTCTCTGTATTGTTCATCTTCTAGTATTTGCGGTAAAATTATTTCCTTTTTAGTCAGTAATTGATAAATTCGAGGATCCATTATACCACGCTGATGCCTATTCAAAGATGTTTTTAATACTTCACCAGGTAAAGTATAATTCAATGATTGAATAATTTGCACAGGTTTAGCTTGTTCTTTTTCATTAGTTTTTGCTTTTTCTGTACTTTCTGAGGTAGTTTCTGGTGGAATAGTGCCCTCATCATCTACTAAACTACTTACTTCACTCAACATTTTCTTAGCAATTTCGTCATTATCATTTGTTTCAGACGCAAAAGGCGTGGATTCATTATTTGAAACATTTTTAGCAGCATCATTTCCAGCACCAGTACGTTTATTTTTTTGTTGAGATTGTTTCTTTGCAGAAAATTTTCCACGACGCTGATAATACTCAACAGATTCCTTAATTTCAGTTTCGAATTCAGGTAATTCCAAATGTTTTATAAACTCATCAATGTCAGTAGTTGGTGAATTTCGAACAATTTCCGCTATTTTACGAATTCGAGCTTCGAAGTCTAAACTAGAATCAATTTTTAAACGCTCATAAATAGCTTTCAATTTTGTTTCATCAATCAGCACGTATCCTCCTAAAAGAACGGCAACAAATGGTAAATGGTCTGCTGTTAATTTAAGTGATGTTAATAATTTTGAAACAACGTATTCTTTAGTTTCCAAAGCGCCTTTGTAAGATAAGCGAAGGTCATGAGATCCAAAATAACGTGATGTATTAGCAATTATAAAATCAGAATGAAGACCAAGTATAGCATCTAATTTGTGTTCATGAAAATATTCAATAATTTCCATATGATGATCGTTAACAGTTTGAGCCTAAAACAAAATTATGTACATAATTAATAACGCAAAATTTATATTAACATAATATTTTAGCTTACGACTTGAATGTTAACACTACGTAAAGCATTACGTAAAGTTGTTCTTATACCAGAAGGTGGTAACCACCAAATTTTAGGTGGTGGGGTACCAATCATTCGAATGTGCTTTAAGACAGAAGCAGTTTTTTGACGAAAGTCATTCCTTTCCATCGTCAATTTTTTATTCTTTTTTAAGGTACCATCAAAAAATGCTATAACTTCGATATGAGCATTTTTAAATGCTGTACCTAAAAGTTGAACGAATTGATACGCTCTGTTCCATTGTCCACCGCAAGCCCAATCTAAATTGAATATTTTGAAAATAAATTATGCGTACTTATACAATTATATTTCAATTCAATTTCAAATTTATTTATTATCAAAACAAAAATCGTAATAAATTACCGGAATAATAGCCACCATAAAATCGATCAAGACAATCTTCTATATCTAATGCAACTTTAAAATTTGCGCTATGTTTTGGATTTTTACCAGCAGCTGAAATATAACAATGAAAAATTTAAAATGAAAAAAAAATGCTGAATATTAAATTTTGTTCAGTTTATTATTATTCAATATATTATAATATAATTTTAAGTAATTTAACAACAGTGCCTATATTTCATTACAGGTTTATGCGTTGCTTATATTTTTTTTATAAATTTTAAGACATTTTAAAAATATATGTGTAGGTAAGTATACATTATGCAGGTAAGATTATATTATTGAAGATAGATCACCTATTCACTTATTTATATTATTATAAAATAATTTTAAGGAAATTTTAAACAGCCAAAATTGCCAAGTACAAGTTAATTAAGTTCAAATTTTAAACAAGTTGGTAGAACCAAGTCCGTTCCTACCTAACTACATTACCGTCCAGCAGGGCAAATTATATTTCATACAGGCATATACATATATATATATATATATATATATATATATACAGGTAAGTAGGCAGACATCTACATATCAAAGTAAATTTGAAACTAATTTATCATTGACCATAATTTACTTTTCCAAATTGACAAATAGCTACATTCTAAAATACATATTCGCAGATAACCACAAATTTATATCAAAATGATGTAAGAATTACTTAAATTACTTTTAAAGATATACTTAATATTTATTTATTTTATTCACAGCGTGGCTCCGACATTTATAATAAAAATTAAAGTAATGTGATTCTAACTTTAAAAAATGTTAGGGATTATTTTTTTTAACCAAATTATAAGATAATAAATAACATTAATTAAATAAACTTAATTAACTCACGAGTATTTTCTAGATGATGTTTTTGCCCAATTTTCAAAAGATCCACTGCTAAAGCTCCACCTTCAATTTTATTTATAAATGTTTGTAAATCAGCAGGATCAATCATTTTATCCATTTTTTAAACAAAAATGAATACAAAATCTATTAATATTAAAATTAAAGAAAAAAAAGGCTAATATATTTTTTTCTACTGCAAAATCGATAATGAACTATATAAAAAGTATGCTTTCTTTCTTCTCTTTTAATTAAATAATAAATTAAATTTTTTTTCTTTTCACTTTATAAAAAATTTTTAATATTGTATTTATTTGGTTAATTTTATTCAATTGTATTTTTTTTCGATTAAAAAATTTTTATAGTCACTCCGGAATGATAAGATGACTGAATTTTTAATTTAGATAAATTTTATTAAAAAAAAAACTACTTCAATTGAAGAAAAAAGCTAAGTATTATATATCTGTTTCACTCAATCTCGCTATGAACTCAGAATTACCGGCATGGCGGTCAACAATCAATTTTTTCTATTAAATTTTTTTTAATTTTTTTAATTTTTCAATTTTCACTATTTTAATTAATGGAAAAATATCTTAAATAATATTTATAACATAATTTAATTATTTTTTTTTTAAAGTTCTTTTTATATTGATTTATAAATTATAGAATCGTTTTAAGACATATGTCAACACCGAATCAGTCTGACAAAAAAAAAAATTTTTCTAGCTCAATTAATTAGAATACAGTTCGAAATTTTTTATTTATTTCAATTTAATGTAAACTTCAAATAATTTCTTATTAAAGCAATTATATTAAAAATGAGATTGAGAAATATTTTCGAATCAAATTTTTAATTAAAAAAAAAACTTTTTTTTTTTCTGTTTGAAGGATATGCGGCAGACCAAGTATACGTAACAACTAGATATATCAATAAAATACCAACAGGGTTGCACTATCTGGCTTTTTGTAAACGTTTTATAGATATCGAGAAATTGTAATCGATATATTATTTTTTTGTATCAAAAGATTAATATTTGAACTGTTTGCACACGGTTGTATGTCAATAAAAAAAACTGTCATATTTCTTTATATTTTTAGAGTGAAAATTTTCGTCTTTCAGCTTTATTTAGTTGAAGAGTTATATTTCATTAAACGCTCACGCATTACTTTATTTATTTGTTCAGATATTGTTTCAAGTATTGAACAAGTTGGCACTGCAATTTGTAACACTCCTTTAAAACGCTGACGTTTTTTGGTATTAGCTTCTTACTTTACTCATTTCTTTTTTTTAAAATTTATATTATTATTAAATTTGATTGACGACGTCAATAGTTATTAAATATTGTTTAAAAAGCTCTTGTACAAATAAATAATGGCTTCAAAATGTAATGAAAACTTTAATTTTTATGTTTTTGTAATTGTAATGTATCTTTAATATAAAATTAATCGAAATTAATGCTTAAAATTATAATATGTCGTTTGAATAACTCCAAATTTTTTTCTCATATAATTCGAAAGCAGCGTGTTTTGCAATATATAATACAATTATACTTCATACAATATGCTAACTTATTTAAATAACAAAAAGAAAATTTTTGCACTAACCTTTTAATTCTATATGAGGAAGGTCTTTTCTAACTTTTGTTAGAAGATCATTCTTAAGATTGCAAAAGAACTGCCAAGCAATTTCAGTCGTGTATGTGGCTTAAATAAATTAAAATAATTTATTAGAAAATAATTTAGTACAGACGCCTGGCCACTGAATTCGTATCAGCTTTTAGAATGATTGGAGAAAAAATAAATTCTATTTTTATATATTTTTTATTATATTTCCATCAAAATATTGCGTATATTGCAAAAGTATTACCTAATTATATATAATGAGCTAATGTCTAGTGCGTATGTAATTCGTCTATGGTATAAGTTAAGACTTCACACTATTCAGACATTGAAATTGTGACAGTCATAATTTTTAAAAATTTTCTAAACAATTGCGCTATTTTCCATTATTTAGCTTCGTATGTAATTTAATTTTATTGAGAATTTTGCTAAAAATTGAAATTTAAAAATGCCTTCAACATTAGAATTGTGTGAAAAATATTTTGGCACCCAAGACATATATGAAATTTTAAGTATTGAAAAAACTGTGTCCGACAAAGAAAGTAATTTTTATAATTTTTATAAAACAATTTTCCTATCGCCTAAATTTTAATTAATTTTTATTTTCAGTTAAAAAAGCTTATTATAGATTATCGTTAAAAGTTCATCCAGACAGAGTTCCAGAAGAAGAAAAGCAAATTGCTACAGAAAAATTTAAGGTGCTTTCCAAGTTAAATGAGGTTTTAACAGATAAAAATAAAAAGAGCTTGTATGACGAGAAAGGTATTATCGATGATGATGACGATGAAGGTAAATTAGGAACTTGGTTGGAACTTTGGAGGAAAATTTTTAAACCAATTACCAAGGAAGATATCGATAATTTCAAAAAGGAATATATTGGTAATTTAGGAGATAGCAGTTTTTATAGACTAAGAAAATAAGTACAAATTTTTATAAAAATTTTGTAGGCTCCGATTTAGAAAAAAGAGATATACTGAAAGCCTACACAAGTGGAAAAGGTTGTATAGATTATATGATGCAATGTGTACCATTCATGGACATTGAAGACGAGCCACGAATTAAGGATATAGTTTTACGTAAGTGTTTTGTAGAAAAAACTTTAAATCTTAATTTTTAATAATAATAATTAATGTAAAATATTTAGAAATGATCAAGAATAAAGAAGTCCCAGAATATAAAATATTTACTAATGAGCCGGAGTCGAAGAAAAAAAGAAGACATAAGAAATACACAAAGGAAAGAAAAGCTGCTGCAAAAGAAATTGAAAAAATTAACAAAAAAGAAAGTCTAGAACAACAAATCATGAAAAAACAGCAAGAAAGATCGAGTGCATTTTCATCACTTATAGATCGATTAAGCCAAAAATACGGAAATGAAGAAAACGAATCAGATGATCCAGAATTTGATATTTCCAACTTATATTCTAAAAAGAAAGCAGCTAAAGGGAAAAAATCGGAAAAAGCCAAAAAAGAAAGTAGTGCAAAGGCGAATGATCGAAGAGTGAAAAGAGGGAGGGTTACAAAAAAATAATAGAATATTACATTTATGCCACTGAAGCTTAGATTTCAGTATTTATTGATTCTCATTTTTATATGTTTGAAAATATTTTGTTAGAATAAAATCATTAAAACAAAAAATGCTGGATTTGCTTAAACTTAAAATGTTTTTTTCTTTTTAAGATTACATACAATTTTACAAATAATTTATACATAATTTTTATGTATATAAGTATTTTATTTTATTATGCCTGTATGCAATGTGCAGCTCTCAATATTATGATTTAAAACAGCAATTTAAATTGTAGAAAATTCAAATAATATAATAGAGGTTTTCTTTTCAATATTTATGTCCGTTTATATGTTGGTGCGACTCCATCATTACAGGGTTTAATATTGTTTGATTTGCATAAGATGTAATTATATATTCGAAGTTTTGAATTCTACAATTTTATTCTCAAATAACAATATAAAGAGCAAACGAACGAATATCGACTTTAAATTTGATTCTGAGAAAATGTATGAATGCACTACTAAGTTTCATCTATTAATGTCACATTGTATACACATTATCAATTAAAATATACATATATCTACATCCATTATAAACTATATAACAGATAGACAAAACAAAACAAATTTTACATTTTGGGAAAATTCAACGTTTTATTAAATATAAGCTTACAAACAAAAATTTTATGAAGGTTAAAATCATCTAATTGCTACGAAATAATTAAAAGTAATTAAAATAAAAAAAAAAAAAAATATTTTGTTTTTATGTTTTAACTCTACTATAAATGTTACATTCGAACATAAATTATTTAAAATTAAAACATAAGATTACAATATTATACGTATTTTCCATACATTGAAATTTTAATTAATTTTTTAGAATATATTTTAAATTCGTTAAATAAAATAATATAAGAATTATTTTCCAGTAAATCCTTTAATTTCTCAACGATTCCACATATATGTAATTATATTTAATTATTGATTTAATTTCTTTTTTTTTTTTTTTATTTAATAATTATTTTTATTAGAGTATAAAAAAACGTATAATATAGCTCTCAAAAGGCACATTTTTATTAGACTAAATTTATATTTTCAAATGTTAGATTCTTATATCTAATTATATAATTACATATTGTATATTATTATATAAACAAATTTTAATTCAAAATATCCAAAAAAAAAAAAATCCATTTGATTTGGAAGTTAATTTTTTTTTGTCTTTTCTATACCTACATATCGTGTATATTATAAAAATTTTGGGTCTCAAAATCTTTCTTATTTCAAGATCATTTCTGAACTAAAGTAGACACAATTTTATTTATTACCAATTATTTTATCTAATATAACTATGATAAAAAAAAATCCTTAAAATTTAATGATTAGCGGGGAAGACTAATTTTTTATTTAAATTGATGACCCTATACATAGTATTTGTGTAAAACAAATATAATTTTGGAAAATTATTTAAGTAATTTTATAATTATAAAAAAATAATAATAATACATTAATGATAAACAAATAGTGGTCAATATTTGTAATGATTATTATTCGATTATCAAATTAATTTTTTTCTTTAAATTTTAAGATGTGCCTACTTAAAAATCATTGTAATATTAGTTTTTTTTTTTTTTTTCAAATATTTACTTCAATTTTGTACATACGCAAAAGTAAATTATGCATTCATTTTTTATAAAATAAAATAAAAATTACAGAATAAAACTAATTTAAATCAAATACAAACGAAATAAATTGAGTATTAAAGAATTCTAGAATTCGCCCTGATTACACAAATTTTGTAAATATTAATTAAATTCTTAAATTATTTAGAATTAAAAATTACATATGTGTATAATTATGTAGTATACACTATTCCCTGAAATTATTCGTAAATATATAATAAAATGTCTAATATTAAGAAAAATAAAAATAAAAAAAATCGAAAGACATTAATAGCGGCACCTTTAACAATATTTTAAAATATTAATTAAAAAGATCGAGAAATTTAGAGTCCTTCTTATGTAAAATGAATTAATATATATTAAATGAAATTAAATGAAATAAAGTAAAATGAATTAATATATAATAAATAAATTTTCATCTGCATGTCTGTATCTTTAAAATTATTAAATTTAAATTATAATTTTCGCATTTATTCCATTTCGGCGTTTATCCATTCTATCCATGGAATAAATGCCGATTAGGAAAATATAAATTTTAGGAAATCAAAGCCCCTTTTCCAATAATCTTATTCAAATTAATGAATTCCATTGAATTATGAAATTGAAATATGAATGAAATTATGGTTTTTTTCGACTTGCAGAGTTTTAAATTTCATATTAATTTTTTCTCTAAATTTCTCAATCAACAAAGAAAAAAAAAAAACATTTATAACCCAAAAATATTAAAATAAGAAAAAAATATGATATTAGATTATTAGCAAGAATAAATTCTTATAAAATTTATAATATAAGGTTAATTGTAAATATAAAACTACTTTTAAGTTAAGGTTATAAAATTTTAGTAAAATCTATTAATGATATAATTTTCGTATAAAAAAATTTATTTTAATTCGAATATTATATAGCTTATATTCTATTCAATTAATTCAATTCGTCAGCTTTATTTATCATATTTATTAAAAAAAAAACAAAAAAATTTGTTAATAATGACACATAAAAAGATCAAAAAACAATATATTTGAAAGTTAGTTGATAATTAAAAACAGCTACTATCTTAAAATAAATTTAGAAAATACTGAATAAATAAAATTTTATACATATATTGTATTTACTTACGAGGGGGACGAAAGTTAGTTATAAATGCAAAATATCAATCAAATGTGTAATGTTATAGATTAAAGATTAAGAGTTATTAATTAATAAAATTAAAAAGATTAAGATAAGTTTTATAAAAAATTTATAAAACAATAATTAATTTGTTTTTATAATATAAATTGAGTATTTCTTAATATCATAATTTATTTTTTGTTTTTTAGAAAATATTGAATATGATATTTTGATGTTAATTTATCTTTGGAACATACTTATTTTTTAACATTCTACAAGTATATAAATATCAATTTTAAAATTGATAATTAATTGTGATTATGATGACCAATTAAATGTTTAAATCTTTCTTTAAATGTTTTCCCTTTTTTATTAATAATTTTTGAGTTTTTAACTATAGTTTCGATATTTTGTTTTGTTTTCGTTTTATTTTCACTTTTTTCAATTAAACGTGCTTCAAATAGATCATAAAAACTTTTTTCTTTATTATTAATATTACATTTATTTGTAATTGTATTATTACTATTAATATTGTTATTATTTGTATTATTATCATTTTTATTATCAAATTTATAAATACAAAAATGACGAAACATTGATGTTTCAACAAACCATTCTAAAAAGAATTTAACATTTTGTGATGTATGGCATTGAATGAATTCTTCTTTATGAAAATATTTTTGTCTATAATTACCAAATAATTCAACAAAAAAACGTAAAAATGCTTCACTTATTAATACAGCTGATAGCATTTTACCTTGATCAATTAAATCAACCATTTCCAATGACATTTGTAATGATTCAATTAATGAATCTGGTAATATTGTTTGTTCATCACCACAACTTTGTTTAATACATTTATTATCTAAATTAATAATAATACCATCTTCAATTTCAAAAGAAATATTTTCTAATGTTCCAACTAAAATTGGAAATGGTGCTTGACAAATCTCTGTTAAACTTTCTGGCAATATTGTAACAATTGTATATTGCCATTGAAATGGATATAATATTGTTTGTAATGCTAATATTGATTTTGATAATTTTGTTATATTTTCACTTTCTAATATTACTTTTCTTTCTAATAATAATGTTGAAAATACAATAACTAATAATTCTGGCCCTAAATTTATAAATAAATCACTTAATTCTGTATTTTCTAAACGTAAATCATTGGGACGTCTTATTAAAATTTCATCAAATTTTGGATCCCGCATTATTAAACTTCTATTAAATAATACAAAATCAAAATTGTTATGAGCTTTCTTTTCTTCGTATTCTTCTAACAAAGATTTTTGTCCATTATTTGCTTTTCGAAGTGATTTAGAATCATTACATTCTAAAAATAAAAAATAATTTAATTATTTTTAATAAAAATATATAAAAATTATTATTTTTAATGTTTAAAACATTAGTCAAATTATTATTTATTTATATGATACCAATAATAATAAATAGAAAAAATATTTACCTGCAAATTTTGATAAATTTTTTGCGGATTCTGTTAACCATTTTGGATTTGCTTCTAAACTTAAGCGTTTTGGTGAAATTTTATGATGTGATGAAAAAACTGTTTTTGGACGGATTGAAAGAGGTAGTTTAACATGCAAATATTTACCAGCTGTTGGTAATTTTACTTTTTGTAAACTTTTTAATAAAAAATTCATTTGTATATCAGTTTGACCATGACGGCTTTCAATTTCTTTTAATAATTTTTGATAGAAACCTAATGCTTTTGTTTCACTAATAATACAATAGCATAATGGTAAACATGTATCACAATTTTCAGGTAATATTCGCCTACAATAACCATAAATTTTATATCCATTATCATCAGTTAATATTAAACAATATTCCTGATTTGATTTATCTGTTTGAATTAATTTTTCAGATGGGAATATTAATTGTTCTATATTATCAGGTATTTGTACATGTTGAGGAAATTTATATTTTACGTATGCATTTTTTTCATTTAGATTATAGCCAACTAATATAAAAACTTCAAATAAATTTTCTTTTATTTTATTTTCATTATCTTTATATTGTAATGTTTCATTTAAATAGTCAACTTCAATAGCTTCATCGATCTCATCAATGTTATCATTATCATTATTAAAATTAATATCATTTTCTTCATTATTACATTTTCTAATTGAATTTTTATTTGTTTTTGGAAATAATAAATTATCACCTGTTTTATGTATATCATCAGTTTCAATTTCATTATCATTTTCAATATTTTTCATATCAATTGGCTTTTTCTGTCTCAATTTAATAACTGAGTCTGTAGTATCTGTACTATTTTGTATCAATTTTTTATAATTATCTATACGATCACTCAATGATAATATACCATCTGATGTATTATTCATATTCATTTTTGTGTTATCTACTTTATTATAACTATTATTTAAATTTTTATTATTTTCTTCTAAAGAAAATGTTCTAATAACTGGTGATTTAAATGTTCTATGCATAGTACCATAATTTTTTATTTGATTATCTGGTATTACAGCAATCCGTCGTACATAATCTTTACGTTTTTCTGTTAATGTACGCGATAAACGAACTGCTGAATTTTTTCCTTCAGAATTTTCTTTATGTAAATTTTCGTTTGATTTATTGGCTTTTTTCTGAAATGCAGCGTCAACAAGTATGGTTATCTGAAAAATAAAAAAGAATATCAAAATACTTTATGTATAACAATAAAAACAACGAAAATTTAAGATAAGAAAAAAAGAAATATTGAAATTTTATAAGTTATTTGCGATAGCTTTTTTATCTAAACCATCTAAAATTAGGATTTTTGATTTTTAGTTTGACTGTACATTTTAGTTTTACAATTACTGTGAACAATATTTTATTTATTATTACCTCATTATAGGTTTTGCCCAGCGTTAGCTTTTGATCTTTTTCAAGTGCAAGACAACCTTCATCCATATTATCATCAATTGGTGTGCACTGTTGAGAGATTATTATATGAATTTTTATATAATTAATATAATTTTTAATATAATACAAGCTTTTTTTTTTGTGTATTATATAAAATTTACCATAATTTAAACTTAAATAAAGTTCAAAATTTTTTTTGGAAGAATCACAATAAAACTTAAAGTACTTAATTTCTATTTAGCTTCCAAGTAGAACAAAAGTATGTTTTAAACTGAGAAAATTATAAAAGAACAGCCTTTTTTTACTATACTCTTATTTTATTATAATTTTAACTAGAATTCTGTAGCAATAATTACACATACAATACCTTCAAAGTATTTCAAAAAATTTTTTGTAGTTTATTATTGTAAAAAGCTTTAATGAATATTCCATAAGAGAATAATTTTATAGATTAAAATTTTTATCTGAATCCATTAAATACAAACTTAGTTAGAATTTCCATTATTTTTATTGTAAAAAAATTAACAATTACAATGATTCATTGTACTTATTTACAGAAAGATTTTTTTGCGAAAAAAAAAGCTTTTTTAATTAAATTTTTTTTTAAATTTTCCTTAATTAAACTATTAAATTGCTTTGTATACTTTTGAATATTATTTTTAATGTAACAAGCATAGCGATGCAGGTTTTCTATAAAATTTTTAAAAAAAAATGATGTAAATTATAAAGAAGTTTTTATATAAAGCTTAATTATATATTTACTAGTAAAGTTGTGATTTTAAATTTCATATAAACCTGCTTTAAAAAATAATAGTTGTTGCAAATCAATATTATGATTAATTCATGTAGAATTTTTTAATAATAGGTATACCAATTTAAAGCTACCAGAAAATTATAGCCTTCATTTAAAGTTTTTACTTAATTTAATTAATTAAATATTTTAATTACTATTCATAATTTTGTGTAGAATAAATTGTCATTTTAAATATGTATAGTATGTTCTTATTTATAAGAACTTTGCACTTTTAACCAAATAAGTTTTTTTTTTGATTGGAGAATATTCGACTTTACTGTATCGTAAAAAAAAAAACACAAAATAATAGAAAAACCAAAATTTCAAGGCTATTAAATTAGTTTATTAGATTAATATAATTTATTGGATTTAATTTATTCTGTATGTAGTTAAAGTTTCATTTCGTTGTCGAGTTGAACTCAAAGTAAATTATACTAATATTTAACAAATTTAACTACGTACCACAATTTTAATAAATAAAATTTAAATTTTTATTTATAGATTTCTATAAAAAGTTTACGTATTTGTATAAAAATTGTTTTTAAAGAAAAGCGAATCAAAAATTTTACTAAAGCTATAAATAGCTTCAAAATTAAATGAAAAAAAAACCAAATAAATATCATAAACGTACCATTTTCATATGGTGTAATATAAAGGTTTAAAATTATAGTAATTGGAACTGATACCTTTATCATACAAAAAAAAACAAATAAGTTACTTAATAGTTCAATACTTGCTTATTAAAAAAATTCAATTAGAAACTAAAGTCAAGGCTGGTCAAGCTTTAATACTTAATTATTGAAATTTCTCTAATAGTTCATATTTACTTTAATAGAATATCAATATGTATATATAAACCTAGAAAATATCTTACCAAATAATGTAAATCTTCCTTTAAATTATGATGTATTTCAGGACAACTACAAATGCTTTCACTAATACTATGTTCATTCATTGAATCTCCACTGGTTGATGCAGTTTCAGTTTTATTATCGATTTTTTTAATAAAGAAATTATTTGTATCATTTTTTAAATGACTAAATGGTTCCATATAAATAGGTTCAACTGGAGTAACACTATTTGAAAATCTTTTAATGAAATTATGTGAATTCATGTTAGTACTATTATTCTGTTGATGATGTTCACCCCCTAATATATTTTCAGTCTGTACAAATGGATCATAAATGGTAGAAACACTTTTTCGACATGAAAGGCAGTCTAAAAGCTTTGAGCCTTGTAAAACAAGTTCAGTCTTTGATTTAGTTAGAGCAATAGGTTTTTTATTATTATTAATATTATTTAAATGATCATTGTTTCTTATATTATTTTTTGAAAATAAAGTATTTTCTAAAATTTGAATTTTAGATTTTATTTCACTATTCTCATTTTTATTTTCATTTTTTTTATTTTCAATACTTTTTATTTGCTGGATTTGATGATCCTTAAATATTTCAACTGGGCTTAGATTTTTAACTGGTGAATCATCTTCACATCCTGTATCGTCACTGGTATATGCAAATGTTCTAGGTGGTTTTTTTGGTGGTGGTCCCGTTGGAAGAGGTTGTTTTAAAGCATATCTTATTGAATCAGTAAGACCAGGTTGCTGTAATTTATCTATATCAGAAGCACATTTTCTAACCAAAAAATATTCAAATTTTTTTGTATTGAATTCCTTTGGTGGTGATGTTGATGACATAGGAATTTTTTGATAAGTTTCTGTATTAACTGCCTTGTCTTTACAATTTGAAATATTTGTGTTATTCGTATTACTACTTGAAATACGAAAGGCTGGACTTCTTTTTATACTACTTCTTTTTATAGGGTCACTAGTTTGCCGTGATAGTCTTCCTGGTTCCTTTGATTCTTCAACAAGTTTTGCATATTTTGATTTGAGTGCTGAATTATCATCATTTTGTTTTAATTTCTCATTTTTGCTACTTGCACTCAATTTTTTTGATGATTTACTTGTTGAAATTTTGTTTGTTTCACTTTTGGCAAGTAAATCATGGGTGGTTTTTGATCTTTGAAAAAATCCTGGTTTTCTAAGTAGTTTCTTTTTTGGAACATTTGCATCTAAAAAGTCTAGACTTTTCAAATTTTCAAATTGATTTTTAATAGCATTTACTCGTCCACTGTAAAATTTAAAAAAAAAATAAAGCAATTAACTCTTTGTTTATGGATTTTTTTTTAATAAAATAAAACTAATTAGAAAAATACATACATATTAATGAAATAAAGAACACAAAACAAGTAATTCAGATTTATACAGAATGAATTAAAATTAAATGCATAAGATTATAGATTTATTGGGATCAATGCGCTTGGTAGAAGGTCAAATATAAATATGTGTTACATTAGACGCAATTTATTTGTCTACCATACGTTAGGTACAATAACAAATATAATTTTGTGACTATATTTTAATTTATTATTTGATGGAAAATCCTAAATAAATGCTCAAAATTAGGAACCAAAATTAAAAAAAAAAAAAATATTTATACAATTAATTTTATAACTTACCTAACAGGTGGTTCACTGCAGGACATATTGCATTAATACGATTTTCTTTTAATCATTTTTTGTAAATATTAAAATCAATTAAACAATCTTATATATTATATGTATACATTTTGACCTATGTCTCCTTTGATAACAACACTATAAAGTTTTTTAAATAATTTAATAAGGCACACTTTCATTACGTTTTGAGCTTAATTTAATTACGGTGTTGTGATTGTAGACTTTCACGACGCGATTTTTTTTTATCAATTTAATTTTAAACTTTATAGTAAATATCAAAACTTATATTGTTAATTTAAAGTAAAGTGTTAGTACGTTAGGAAAAGTGGTTACCCGAAAATTTTTTACTTATTAATTCCCAAAAACTAATAATTTAAAAATTTATTTATTATAATAAAGCAAATATTCAGACATTTTGACAACAGTTGAAGTCAAATAAACTGTCATAATATGCTGACGTATTGAAGAAAACCAGGTGCTACCTTCGTTTCCAAAAGCAAACTCAACCTACTTTGAAAAGTTTTTTATGCCTAACATAAGAGAGTTGTTGAAACATTTGCTTGACAGTTTGCATTTTCAAATACCTAATTGAAAATGAAATGTATATTCTTAATGAAACTTAAATGATAAATTTTCCCTTTTTATATAAAATAGCAACAACGAACTGTATCTATTGCTTGTTGAATTCCGCCTTTGTGCCACATATTTTCAGCAAATTTATTATTTTTCTAGGCCTATCACTTTGCTACTCAAATAAGTCATATACTAGTTACTAGTATATTGATTCTACATTAGAATGCTAAAATAGCTAATAAACATAATATAAGGAATCTGTAGAGAGATTAAACTTAAATTTTTCCGATTCCAAAACAAAATAAAAATGATTTTCCAAATGATTAATAGGAGAAATTTATTAATACAGAAGCTATTTGATTGGTTTTAAAAATGTTGATAAATGTTTTGGTTTTAATAATTGAAATCTTGTGGCAATAATATAAAGTATTTCCAAATATTCAATATTTACCTAATCCATTTAGTATTACGACTTTACATTAATGTCAATAATAAAGAAAAACTTTATCTTAAAATTTTTACAAATAGATTATAATTTTTTTTTTCTTTCATTTTTCCTTTAAAAATTCGTTCTATTTACAAAATTTTCAATCTCATCAAGAATATGGATAAACTTATTGTATATCTACTACTCGCCGTTAGGTAGCGCTAATTAAATATTATTTAATTTTCATATTTGACGTTTTATAATAGCGTTGCAAGTTAAATAATTGAAATGTCAAAATTAACGAAGCTTGAACGAAAAACTTGATGTTTTTTTGACATTTAAGATTTTAATAGAGGGAAACTCTTTCAGTTGTCATTAAAATTTCTGATGCAATAGTTTGAAAAAGGAAAAGTAATTTGTGCGTATTATTTGAAAATAAAAAAAAAAATAAAATTTTATAATTATTTCAAAAAAGTGAAAGCAAAATTCTTAAAAGTGGTCAAAAATTTTTAAACCAAATATTTTAAAAAATTGAAAATTTTTCTTGAAAAAAAAAGAAAAAAAAATTGAAGCATTGCCATATTTCTTGAAACTTAATAAAATTTTAATATAAAGGGCAATACGTAACAGAAGTGCTTTAAATTATGTAAAAAATTCTAATAAACAAGATCAAAATCTAGTGTAAAGTTTTCAAAATTTACATAAACTACTTTACAAGCAAAATGTGTTACAAAAGCAGCAAATTAGCAGATAAATTATATTGTGGAAGTGAAAAAATAGAATTGAAAGCAAATCAATTTTCTATTTACCATATTACTCGAAAAAGAAACATTCAAACCGTAAAATAAATTTAATTTAATTGAAAAATAATATATTTTATATATATAATATTTTTCAATCTATAAATAGAAATTATTTTACAAAATTTATTGTTGAAAATCTTGTAGAATACTTGAAATCCTTGATTTCCAAGAGTTGCTGAATAAAAGCTTGTTTTGACGTAAATATTTTTCGTTATGTTGATTAATACCAAACAGAAGTAAGTTCTTTATTAAAAATTTTTATATTTTTGGTATTCGTGGCAACAATAAAATTTGATAATAAATTAACCATATTAGTCGAATTAAAAAAAAACAGAATAAATACAAAAATGATGAATGGTAATTGCAGAAATAATTTACAAGGTTCGGATTGCAGATTTGGTATGCTTAATCCAACAAATTTTTTAACCCAAAGTATTGGGAATTTTATTCAGAATACAGCTAACATGCTGTGGAATCCCACTCAATATCAAAATCAGAACTGCAGGAAATTTAGTACGAACACAAACCATTTTGGTAGACCTCAGGAAACTCAATATACAACGATGGCACCGTATGCAACAGCTTTTGTAAATATCAATAATGCAATGGGTTTCAATCCAAATTCTAGACATTATAATAAATTTTCTGGCTTCAATCAACATATGGATGGTATGGGACATCGATTGGGTAGTAGTTTTAATAAAAATAATTTTAAATTTGGCTGTGATGATCATTTAGAAAATAATCATTTTAATCAACATCGTAACAATAAAAAATATCAAAAAATGAATCCATCTTATTGTAACAAAAATTGGAGAGATGGCTGCGTTAAACGCAACCATAAAACTTCTGAAAAACATAAATCTGTTCTTAATGAAACTCCAGAATCTAATTATACACAGGGCAAAAGTTACTGTAATCAAAGATACTTTAACAACAATAATAATAATAAAATCAATTATTTAAAATTAGAAAATAGACCTAACAGTAATCGCAATATGAATAATTGTAATGATAATAATAATAATAATAGATCAGCAGAAGTTTTAACTATATTTACATTAGATGATTTCCCGGAATTACCAGTACCGAAAAGACATAAGCAATGGTCGTTTAATTTTCCAAGTTCATGCAAGTCAAAAAATCGTATAACAGCTAAAATTAATTATAAAAATCAAAACGAATCATCACCAAAAATTAAATCTAATGATAATAATAATAGTTTCCATGAAATTACATCAAATAAAGAAAGAAATAAATGTAATAAGTCTAGTAAGCATGATTTTATTGAGGATAATTTCGTTATTATAATGGAAAGTCCAAATTCTCCAAAATTTAAACACAATACAAAAAGTACAGCTGGTTTTACGCCATTTAAACCAAGGCAACGACAAATATCAGAATGCAGTGATGATAGTTTTATTATTTGTTTTACAAATGATGCAGCTGATGGAGTTATTGAATTTGCAAATCTCTTGAGCTCTGAAAATAGTGATACTGATAATACAGATTCAGATGATGATGATGTTAGTGATGATGATGATGATGATGATGACAGTGATAATGATGATGTTTATAACAAATCGGGTCATATAAAAAATAAAAGCCAATTTAATCAAAATAACAACAATAAGAAAAGTAGTAAAAACAACGTCCCAAAAGAAAAGACTGAAAATAATAAGACTATAAGCAATAACTTGGAAACTTTATGTTTAGAAACAACAAGTCAACCAGATTCTGGATTTGATGATATTAAAGAGAAAAAGGTAATCTTAATTTATTTGTAAAATCATTAATTAGCTCTTTTTATTTCCATATTTTTACTTATGCTTGATTTCTATTAACACTTGAATAATATTGCAGCTTCGCTAAATATAATCACGATTTATTCACAAAGGCCAAAATTTGTTAGCTTAGGACAACTTTTGCAAATTAGTCAAATTAATATTTATGAAAATCTGTACATGATACTATATAAAACCAATTTAGGCAAGTACCTACCTGTCTTTTAATGCTCCTTTATATTTTTCTTAAAAGACTATTTTAAAAATGCAAAAAGAATTTTTTGAAAAACGTATACTTAATTTATTACGAGTATCTGCCAAGAGAAATCTTTTCAAATTTCAATACGTTTTACATTATTAATGAAGTGTAATAATTTTAGCAAAATTAAAAACTTAAAAATTAAAAATTATTTCCTAGAACTTTAATTTTCCAGGGATTTTCCCCATTTTGAATTTATAAGATTTCAGTAAAATCATTAATTTTTTTATGTAGATATTTTAATGTTCAAATTTGTTTGATTATTGAAACGCGTATTTGTTTACTTAAGTATATTTTTTTTTAATTTCCCAATCTTCTGAATTATTGACTTGAATGAATACTATTAATCAATTGAGCAATAAATTTTCGATATTTACTAGATTAGTTAAAATTGCAATAAATAAATTTCATAATAGGCAAATGGAAGTTTGAATACTTATATGTAATTGTGAGATTTGTAAAATTTTGTCAATGTCGAATAAATTAAAATTAGAATTTAAATATCATATATTGTGATGCCTGCCCTCATATTTCGTTCTTTAAAAAAAAAACTTAATTTGGGTTTATAACCATTTAAATTAACTATAGTTAATTAGTTATGTTTTATAGCTAAAAGATCAAAAAATATTGAAGGGTAATAGTCGACCTTGAAAAAGCTCATCAATTATGTATTTATATATATATAAATATGGTACTGAATGTATATATAATATTAAATGGTTAAAAAATTTATAGAAATATTTAAAAGCTTCCTAAAAATTTTAAAGTTTTATAAAATTCTTTTGGTATACATATTTTTTTTTAAATACATGCTCAAATAAAATTATGCTCACTTAACACATACTTAATATGCTTAATATACTTAAATATTTTTTACTTTAGCTAAGTATAAATATAATATATTAAGTATAAGTATGTGAAATGATTTTGAACAAAAAATAAATACTTTAAATAATTAGGTGTGTTTGTATATACACAGGTTGATTCAGTAACCATAATAATCATTATTACCAAAAGTTGAGAGTCATATACTATCGAGGAGACGATTGAAAATTAGTCAAATTTTTGTTTGTGACTTAGAGTCAATATCTGAACCGTTTCCGAATTAAAGGGGAAATTTCTTTTAGCCCTTTCAAAAATTGTTTCTTTTAAACTTCAATTTTTTTTTGGAACCAAAGTTATAAGCAAAAAAAACAAAATTTAGGTATTATATTAAAATTTTGCTGAATTTTAAAAATCCGTGCAACTCGGAAATGTTGCTATGTTCCGAACAAAAAATATTCTAATTTTCAGCTTCCTATGCGATAGTATATAGCAGCTAACTTGATTCTAAATAACTCTGTATATTTGAAATTATAATAATATATAGCTTTAAATTAAAATAAATTTTATGCATAAATTATTGAATATTTATTAATAATGTAAATTTTTTTTTTTATTCTTTCACACATTAGTTACTTAGTTATTTTTTCTTTCTTTTTGTCTTATATATAAAATAAAAATTTTCAATAGCTTAGCAACAAAATATAAAGAAAATTAAATATAAATAGTAGATAATAAATACTTAAATATAGAATAAGTATACACAAATATACTTTGTTATTTGTACACAGAATTGATAAGTTTTGATTAAATTGTAAATTTTAAAGATACTTAATATTTTGATTAAATTCATAATTTAAACGAGGGAAAGTAATTTATTCATTATTTCATGTATAAAGTACTCCCGTAAATGTTCACTTATTTGATAATATTAGTGAATATTGAATAGATTAAACCTGATTTTTTTTTCTAAATTACTTAGCTTGTTGAATTATGTAATCTATATTTATAGAATTAATTTACGCGAAATTAATGTTGTATGGAAAATGTGATATGAAACACATATAGGTACATAATTAAATTTTCTTCATAAATGCGTTGTGATTAAACAAAAATTTCATATGTACAACAATATTGCCATTGTTCTTCTAAATTTTCAATTAATTTTCTCTAACTCGGTAATTTTTGGTAACAAAAAAAACATTTTTGTTTTTTGCCATTGATTGTATTTTTACATACAGGCAACCCTCAATTTGTAACCATTTCATATTAAAAACATCGTAGCTGATATTATGTATGTACATATATTAAAAAAATGGGTTAATAAATTATTACTGAAATAAAATGTAAAATAGAATAAAATAAATAAATATGGAAAATAAATTTAAATAACGTGCAAAAAAAAAAAAATAAAACAAATGAAAATTTTTAATTTTTTTTTTTTTTTTTATAATCAAAAAACTTTTTATGGATGCGGTTTTGCAAATAAGATTTTGATAAGTAAATTTGGTTTTTCCTTACTTGTCTCTGTTGTGACAATACAATAAATCTTATCAGTTTTAATTGAATTAAAGAAGATATGGACAGGGTTCTTTCAATATTCATTTAGCATTCATTTAATTTTCATTTAGAAATAATTTATTAATTTTGTTGAAATTATAAAATTCATATTTAAAAGATACGGCCCATTTTGTCTCGTTAAATTCTGTAAAATATATTGAAATCCAAACTAATTTTATGTGAACTTTTAAGTGTTATGTTCTGCGATAACTATCATTCATAATTTTACACTTATTAACAACTCTGATTTTGATTTGAATTTAAAGTCATTAAAATATTTTAAGGTTTTACGAAATTGTTTTTTTACCTCCTTCCAAATTTGAATCTTTTGTTTTTCATTTTAAAATTATTTATATACAAAAAATTATTATTAAAGTTATATTTTTTGTACAATTCAAGTGATCTGTCTAAAATAAAAATAGTAGAAATATCACTTACTTAATTGCAATTTAATGAGCGTGAATTACAAAAAATGTTAACTTAACCCTTTCCACTCCAATGTCGAGTATCACTCGACACTGATTTTTTCCATTAGCTCCACTGTCGAGTGATACTTGACATGGTGTAATAACTGTCAAATGTAAAAATTTTATCGATACTACATAATAAAACTAGTTGTTATTGCACCGTTATATGTTCGAGTCGTAAACAACTTATCTCTGTGCTTCATCTGTTAGCGTGGACCTGGTGGAATAAAAACAAAAACAGCCTTGGAATGGAAAGGGTTAAGATTTGTTATAAGAAATATTTAGAAAACTCTTAAGAATTTGTATTTAAATTTATACATATGTACATAGATACCAACCTACTTATTGCAGAATTTTTATATTTATTTACAAAAGATTTTTTTTTAATTAAACCTTTACCTACACATAAAAACTGCTGTAATTTTAATTTATTTACATTTAAATTTCTTATCGGCGCATTTATAGGTCACATGTACATTAAATTTTTATAAATTCAAAACTTTTACAAAAGAAAAAAAATAAATTTAATACTCCAGCATATACAATAAAAAATAAACTTAATATATAATTACGTAATTATACCTATACATATAAATAAATTTAATGTTTTTATCTCATTTCATATGATAATAACAACAAGTATATATACGGGCATTGTTACACATTTACTACTTTTCTAAGAATTATCAATAAATATAGGTATAATAGTATGAGAGCTGTGTTGCAATTGTAGTGAAAAAATATTGATCAGCAAATAATCGGCATAAATTAATGCAAGCTTTCATATTTTGTAAGTATTTGCACTTACAAATGTACATACCTATTTAAGAATTGTATATTTAACAATTCAGTAATGCTTAAACATTTTTGTTTTGTAAAAAAAAACAAAACTTAAATTCTTAATTAAAATGTTAAAAATTTCTATATTACGAAATTTACAAAATAAAAGCTGATAATTGATTATTATTTGCTTTAGCTACAAACGTTGGTTCAAAGGTCATATCGAAGTTTTGAAAATAATATTACTCGTATAACATTTTACAATTTTAAAATTGGAATTGGTTAAAATTTGTAATTTTATTACTAAACTTACGGTCGTTCGTAAAAATCATTAAATTATTTTTGAAAGTGTGTGTTAGGTTCTACACGTTTCATCGTTCGGTATCGTATTTTCGTATCTATTGTGGTTCGTATCTAGAATCTAATATCGAGCACACTTATTTCGGCTATCAAGCAAACATTGAACAAATTTATTTAATTTCAGCTATAAAATAAAAGGTGGATATTTTTTCTTTGATTATATAAAAAATGTCTCTTATAAATGATAAATCAATGCATAGTGGAAATAATTGGCCTTAAATATGTATTCGAATATAAGTAGAACATTTTAACCTGAAAAATTCCGTTTTAATAATTTCTATATTTCTTCTAAATATGCAACATATAGATTTTTTTTTTTCAATGATAAATTGATAACCGTAAGGGTAGTAAATATGTTTTTTTTTGTAAACATCCCGGCGTTTCATTAATAAAATGTTTTGAATTTATTTAATTATGAAGGTTTATTCTAAATTGATTCATAAAATGTTCTTTAGAAATTCAGAATTCAATTATATGAGTCATCATTTGTTATTATTTATAAATATTTTTTTTTGGTTTTCTGGAATGTCAATGAAAATTGTTTTAGCTTTTGTAATTTAATAATCAAATTTTGTTGACTTCAATTTTAAGTGTATAAAAAAAAATTTATATAGAAAAATTTTTACACACGCACACGCTTATTCATATAATCTTATAGTATGATCAAGTTCAAATGACGTCATATGACGTCACTAATTGAAAAAATTTTTCGATTTTCCTAGTAATGTTATTTT